TGTGTGTGTGTGTGTGTGTGTGTCTTCCTCCATCCGTATATCCATCCAGAAATCTAATTCTGCTCATGAAGTTTACTACCTAAGTCGTCTCTTGCCCTGTTTCTATCCCTCTTTCGCGTTTCCTCCTCCACTCCCCCCTCTCCTCCTCCTTCCCCGCGCTCCCCACTCTCCCTCTCGACCACACCCAGAAAACAAACACAGAACAGAGCCCCCCCCAGTGATCAAACAATAACCCTACACCCCATCACCATGAACCTGACCCACACCCTACGCAGAGCGCCATGTCCTTAGATCAACAAAGAAAGCAGCGTAAAGAAATATGTCTCTAAAAACATGAAGAATTCTCACGTAAAGTAAGAAGAAACAACGACCTTGAAAATCCCAGGTTCTGCATAACCTCATTTGACCCGTGTGACCCCGTGTGACCCCTATCGAGGCAGTCCCCGTTCTCTTCAAGAGCTCTCAAGTGGACACATCTAGGGCCATATACTGTGTTTAGTGGTAGTTTTGGCACTCTCGTCAAGGGACATAACCAGGGCCATATACTGTCTCTAGTGTGTTTTGAGCGCCTCGACAAGGGACATAACTAAATCTATCTGCTCTGATGGCGGGCAATAAACGACAGAACTTTGTGGACAGAACGGCTTGAGATTTTTGCCTGCTTATCTCTCTGTCATATCGGGCGGGGATCGAGGTCGGTGGAAATATGGGTGGGTGGGGCGTGGTAAGATCTGACAGACCCGGGCTCAGAGGGATACAACATCCCAGCAGACAGACCCCGGCTGAGAGGGATACAACATCCCAGCAGACAGACCCGGGCTGAGAGTTTTCACTGTTATTGTTTTTCACACAAGTAGGGTAAATCTGATCGCAAATTCTTGTTTTAGTTTTAGTAAGGTTTTACGGCGCTCGTAGCTGCATTAAGTCATATGGGCGCTAAGAGGTGGATGTCAACAGAGAAGTCCTTCCAGGGAATCAGGCTTACTCTGCTCACCTCTCTAGCTTCAACAGAACAAAGTTTTATTTCGACTATCAAAGCACCCTGGAAAAATACAGTTCACACGAGAGTGAGAAACATACAAAAGATGTAGAGGAAAAATAATGATAGAAAGGATGAGGAAAGAAAAAGTAGCAGTTCCTCCTATGTTACTCAGGCACAGTTATGAGCATGACATTGATAAATCAGCCCGTTTACGATTCTACTATGCATAAGAACAATCATGTTATGTTCCCACCTTTGGGAATGGCCTAAAGACACTTCATTCAATGGCACTGCCCTTGGGGTATCGCAATACGTTTACCCCCCCCCCCCCCCC